GGAAAGGGTCGGTGCCAGAGGTTGTTTCCAGTGAAGAATATTAGCCTTACGGGTGAAAAACAAGAGGATATTTAGAAGGGTTCTTTGTGCCCTAGTTGGAGCCACCCCCTCCACCAGACACACTGATACTGTCAGTGGTTCGGGAAGGGCCAGCACTCACTTCAGAAACGCCAGTAGTACTTCGGTCCAAAAGGACTGAGCCACAGGGCAGTACCAGAAAATAGGACCAAAAGAAGCTGAGAGTGCGAGCAGTGCCCACACTCCACGGAGACCGACGGATAAATAGTAGATCATTTGGCTGGAGTATAATAAATCATTTTTAAAAATTTTCATAGCAAACACCAGATGCGTCTTTTTCGTCAGCAATGGAGTCTTGCGTGCATACAGGCCATGGCGGCTGAGCGCATTAATTATTGGGGTTTTTTTTTTTTTTTTTTTTAAACAATTGTACCTGCTAATTCCAGGTCTTTCTTAAGCTCTCCACAAGTGGTCTTTGGCTCTTGGACAACTCTTCTGATAATTATTTTCACTCCTCTGTCAGAAATCTTGAGAGGAGCACCTGGTCGTGGCCGGTTTATGGTGAAATGATGTTCTTTCCACTTCCGGATTATGGCCCCAACAGTGCTCACTGGAACATTCAGAAGTGTAGAAATCCTTCTGTAACCAATGCCATCAGTATCTTTTGCAACAAAAATGTTGCAAAGGTCTTGAGTGAGCTCTTTTCATTTACTCATGACATGTTTCTTGTGTAAAACCTTGATAATGAGACACCTTTTTATAGGCGATCAGTTGACACTGAACCAGCTGATATTAATTTACACTGACAAAGGACAGGATTACTTCGGGTTGTCTTGGCTTTCCATGACTTTTGCGCCTCCATTTCTTCATGTGTTCAGTACCTTTTCCCTGTGTCAAACCATTTTATTGCACATAACTTAATTTCTGAACTTGTTTGTTTTGATTTCTTTGTATGTATGGATTGCATGGGTTGTTACCAACATGTGGCAAAAAGTTAATGTCAATAGCATCTTTTGAAATTTATTTACTAAGAAAAATGGTGACGTGTTCAAAACTTATTTTACCCGCTGTATCTGTCTAAAGAGAAAAGGACGTAGCCTTGTTCCACTAAAAAAAAAAAAAAAAGACCATGAACGGACACGGATGTAAACGGATGATCATCTGTTTACATCTGCCTGCCCATAAACATACACTGAAGTTTAGTATGGACCCCTCCTAAAAATTGACAGACGGATCCAGACTGAATGCCTGTGTGAAAGGGCCCTTAACCTCACTCTTCTCCAGCATACACATTCTCCTTTACTTACCTGGCCCCTGAAGTAAATACTCCTTTGTGCTGCATAGTTGACATGTTCTCCCTGAGCTTGCATGGGTTACCTCTGGGTACTCTGGTTTCCTCGCCTTGCTGCCAGGTTGACTGGCATCTGCCTGAATTGGCCCTTGTATGTGTAAGCATGTGAGATTTGGACCTTAGACTGTAAGCTTCTTGGGGGCAGCAACTACTGTGAATGTACTGTAGGTAAAGTACTATGTAAATTGTCGGCGCTATACAAGTACCTATATTAATGTATGATCCAGGAGGCACTCCTGAAGAGACACCTTCATTCTTTATTACAGGTAAGGTGACTAGCACTACGCTGTTAATCACAATGCCTGTGGGAGGAGCTTGGCATGTGTGAAGAGGAGGGTTATTAGTGATGACAATGCTGATCAGCCCTCTAGTGGCTACAGGGGCTGCACAGTGTGACAACTCTAAAAGGATTTCACTGCTGGAGAAATAGTGTTGTCACCCTGTCAGAGGAAGAACCTACCAATGGCATGATCACCAGATATTTAAAGAAATCTCTCCACACATTTTTTTCTATATGTAGTTCCCCATGGCACTAGGTACATGGGGAGGGGGCTTTGCAGCATCATACTCCAACATTTAATATGAATGGGGCCACAAGGCTAGGCTTGTGCTTGCGGCATGGTATTCCCATTTAAAAACCCTGTTTAGCAATAAGGAGCTCCGCTTCTGTACCTCTCTCTGAAAAGCAACCCATTGCAGATCACTTTTCATTGCTGGTGTAAACAAGCTCTTTGGGTGTAATGTAAATATAATCATAATGTTCAGCCACCTGCCCCCCCCCTTTCTGAATACAGTAGTCCTGCCCCACCCCCTTTCTGAATCCTGCCCCACCCCCTTTCTGAATCCTGCCCCACCCCCTTTCTGAATCCCGCAGTCCAACTCCTGTCATTAATTGAATTTGGCACAGCAAAGCTACCAATCCCATCCGCCACCTCAGCCGTGGGACTCATAGTTCTCAATGGAGCACAAGTGTGGTGATGTGAACACATTGTCTGTACATATTTCCTCCAGGCCCATAAATGAAAGTCTGTACCTTCAGCTGACACCCGGGCTCACCTATAGTGACTCTGCAAGTTCCAGTGCAAAAAGTATTTCATTTCACAGAATCAGTATGGGTGCATTTATTATTCTGTGCAATACGTGGAATCTGCCTGTCAGTAAACACATTTAGACAGTCACAGAAGAAGGAAGGAAAAAAAAAAAAAAAAAAAAAACACCTTTTCATGACCATAGTTCTGCTTTAAATGGCTCATCATGCACCTGTCAGTGTAATACGTTTCCAAAATATATCAAACAGAAATGACTAGAACAAGCTGCAGATCACCAGACCAGTCCTGAAAATGGTCCCTGCTCATCGATCACCATACATCCCCCCCCAGGAGTATGAATTGGAATAAAAATATACAGAATATTCAACACCACTGGTGAAGGAGCCCCCCACCTGTCCCCAATGATGGAGGATGTCACCCTGATTGGTCCGTATGGGACAGGACTCACATGACCATCAGCACCCCACTACTGTCACTCATCACCCCTTGTCACTCAATCATCTGTCCCTCGTCACTCCTCAGTCACCTGTCCCTCGTCAATCATCTCCCTTGTCACTCCTCAATCACCTATCCCTCCTCAATCATCTCTCCCTTGTCACTCCTCAATCATCTCTCCCTTATCATTCCTCAATCACCTGTCCCTCCTCAATCATATCTCCCTTGTCCCTCCTCAATCATATCTCCCTTGTCACTCCTCAATCACCTGTCCCTCCTCAATCATCTCCCTTGTCACTCCTCAATCACCTGTCCCTCCTCAATCATATCTCCCTTGTCACTCCTCAATCACCTATCCCTCCTCAATCATCTCCCTTGTCACTCCTCAATCACCTGTCCCTCCTCAATCATCTGTCCCCTGTCACTCCTCAATCACCTGTCCCTCCTCAATCATCTGTCCCCTGTCACTCCTCAATCACCTGTCCCTCCTCAATCATCTCTCCCCTGTCACTCCTCAACCACCTGTCCCTCCTCAATCATCTCTCCCTTGTCACTCCTCAATCACCTGTCCCTCCTCAATCATCTCTCCCTTGTCACTCTTCAATCACCTGTCCCTCCTCAATCATCTCTCCCTTGTCACTCCCCAATCATCTCTCCTTGTCACTCCTCAATCACCTGTCCCTCCTCAATCATCTCTCCCTTGTCACTCCTCAATCACCTGTCCCTCCTCAATCATCTCTCTCCTTGTCACTCCTCAATCACCTGTCCCTCCTCAATCATCTCTCCCTTGTCACTCCTCAATCACCTGTCCCTCCTCAATCATCTCCCTTGTCACTCCTCAATCATCTCTCCCTTGTCACTCCTCAATCACCTGTCCCTCGTCACTCTTCAATCACCTGTCCCTCGTCAATCACCTGTCCCTCCTCAATCACCTGTCCCTTGTCACTCCTCAATCACCTGTCCCTCCTCAATCATCTCTCCCTTGTCACTCCTCAATCACCTGTCCCTCGTCAATCATCTCTCCCTTGTCACTCCTCAATCAGCTGTCACTTCTCACTCCTCAATCACCTGTCCCTTGTACTCATCATCATTATCTGTCCCCTCATCACTCCTCAATCATCATCTGCCCCTCAGCACCCCTTCATCATCATTATCTGCCCTCGTCACTCCTCAATCATGTGTCTCTCTGCACCCCCTCATCACTCCTCAGTCATCTATCACTCCCCCTCTTGTCATCATCTCCATATTCTATCCCCTCCCCCTCCTCTCACTCACCGAACTTCTTCCAGTCAGAGTCCTCCAGAGAGTCCATCACCTCATAGAAGCTGTACATGACGTTGGCGGGGACGTGGTAGAGGAAGACGTGCTCTATGGACATGGTGTCCGGTGTACAGGGCCCCGGGCCCGGCTCCTCTCATACGGTCCAGCTAATGAATAACTCCATCACACCCAATCACTTCCCTTTACACAGAGCCATGTCCATCCCGCCTGTGTGAGGGAAGCAACGTCCGCCCCTGGGCCATCTTGTGTGTGGCACCTCCGGAGACAGAAGGAGGAAGTTGAGAGCGGAGACTTTCCACAGGACGGACTTGTCATCCCTCGCAGGGTGTACGATCAGAGGAACAAGGAACGGCAAGGCTTATCAATGGAACTATGTTGTATAACACCCGTATTGAAGAGGAACTTCACTCTGCCTGACCCCCCTCCCCCCACAAAATAATCCTTACCCTCATCCCTGGCTCAGAATAAAATAAAAAAACACTTCCTAGAGCAGGCGTTCTCCACCTGGGGTGCCTTGAGGTTTCTTCAGGGGTGCCTCTGCAAAATGTGTAAATCTGCCCAAAACTTGTATACAAACCAGCAGGTGGAAGAAGCCGGCCTTTTAGTTACACAAAGCCACGGTTTTCATTTTGCACCATTACAACCTTCTAGCTGCCAGCATCCTGACAACCAATGACACCATCCGTTGATAAGGAGGATGACAGCTGCCTGCACAGCATCCTATTTGACCCTCCCTGTCCCTCTCCATCAGTGCTGGGGTCACATTACCTCAGTGATGGAAGAAAACTGAGGGAGAAGAGAAACATTGGAATACTAGTCAGTACCAGTGTGCAAAACAGGAAGAATAAATCACCTCTAATGTCGGGTGTCCTACTTGTGTGGATGTTGCTGCATTATATAAAACTATTAGAATCAGTTTTCACATTTTAGAATGGGGTGCTTCAAGACTGTCCATAATTTTAAAGGGCGCCTCGGGACTGTCCGCAATTTTAAAGGGTGCCTCGGGACTGTCCGCAATTTTAAAGGGTGCCTCGGGACTGTCCGCAATTTTAGAGGGTGCCTCGGGACTGTCCATAATTTTAAAGGGTGCCTCGGGACTGTCCGCAATTTTAGAGGGTGCCTCGGGACTGTCCATAATTTTAAAGGGTGCCTCGGGACTGTCCATAATTTTAAAGGGTGCCTCGGGACTGTCCGTAATTTTAAAGGGTGCCTCGGGACTGTCCGTAATTTTAAAGGGTGCCTCGGGACTGTCCGTAATTTTAAAGGGTGCCTCGGGACTGTCCGCAATTTTAAAGGGTGCCTCGGGACTGTCCGCAATTTTAAAGGGTGCCTCGGGACTGTCCATAATTTTAAAGGGTGCCTCGGGACTGTCCGTAATTTTAAAGGGTGCCTCGGGACTATCTGCAATTTTAAAGGGTGCCTCGGGACTATCCGTAACTTTAAAGGGTGCCACGGGACTATCCGTAATTTTAAAGGGTACCTTGACCACAAAAAGGTAGAGAAACACTGTACTAGAGTTCAGCATGGTCTTGGTTGAAGCAGAGGTTCTCCCATCAGCCCTCTTCTCCACTGCCACCACCATCTTTACCTGGTGCATGCGCAGACATGAGACCGACTAATAGGCCACCTACCTTAAGAGTGTAAGTGCTGTATGTGTGGTGTGCTTGAGCTGCCAAAATTTGTTTTTAGAAATGATCCAGAGTAAAACCTTTTACAGATGGTGGCAGACAAAATATTACTTCCCAAGATACATATGATAAAAAAAAGTAATTTTTTTATTATTATACTGTATATTTTATATTATTTTCTTTTATATATATATTATGTTTGTATAGAGGGGGCCCAGGGCAGTTGTCCCTTTTGCCCCCTAATGAATCTGGCACTGGGTGAGGGGCCACATTCTGGGGGTGATGGCAATGTTACTATTTTAGCTCTTGATGTACTATTTTATTTATTACAGGTACTTATATGGTGCTGTCATTGTATGCAGCGCTTTACATACATAATTGTACATTCACATCAGTCCCTAACCCTCAAGGGGTGTACAATCTAAGGTCCCTAACTCACATTTATACATAAACATACTAGGGACAATTTAGAGAGGATCCTATTGTGTATTTGGGGTGTGGGAGGAGACTGGAGAAAACCAATGGAGGCACAGGGAGGCATGCAAATTCCAGGCAGGTGGTGCTGTGGTTGGGATTTGAACCAACGACCATAGTACTGCCAGACGGAAGTGCTAACCATTTAGCCACTGTGCTGCCCCAATAATGTAGTATTGATATTAAATGTATTACCCCTGAGATTCTAAGCTGTGATCCTTTTTGCTATTTTTGTACCCTCGGTATGTACCTGACGACCCTATGTCTGTTTGTGTTATATTTATGAAAAAACATTATTAAAGAATTTGAAAAAAAAAAGATGGAATTAGCCTCCAACAATTATGCAGCAATAAATAGTATCAGCACACTTTAGGTTTTGTTGAATCCAGATGATGTTCTTTTTAAAGTTTAAGCCCCATATTTGACAAATGTGAAGCAGACAGTGTATTGTGATGAAATAGATTGTCAGCATTATTTATTACTGTATTTATCCTAAAGAATAACTGCATCTTGAGTTTATTAGTTCATGGAAGTATATGATAAGCCATAGACACCTGGATAAAGGAGGGGGTGGTTGAAACCTCTGACAGATATTTGTATTTATTTATTTGGTTGGGATGAGGTTGGAGTTTGGTGGGGAATTTGTCTGGATGGGAATATTGGTGCAGCCTTTGCTATGATCATGAATATCAAACTAAAATTAGAAGGCATATGCTTCCTTGCTCCATGGAAATAGCATTTGCAGCAAGAGGGGTCAGCAATAACAGCTCCCACAATCCTCTGATGGCACACAGGTTGTAAACCCTTACATATTCCCAGTTAACGTAGGAGTAGACTCCTTTTTTTGCTTTGTACTTACAGGTAAAACTATAATAAGACTTACCGGTAGGTACCATAAATATCTATGCACCGTTTACACGTGAAGCAGCTGCTAACGTCACCGGCACATGGGCACTGCACTCGCAATGGATGGCATGTCATTCATTGAGAGAGTTGTGCCTCAGTCGTGAACATCATCGTGGCTTGGCCATTCAAGTGGCCAGAGCCGCGAAACAAGGAAGGAAGACTGGGTTAAGATGGATTCCCCTTTAGCGGTGACAGGGCGCCGCTGTAGGGTTCTGTTTCACAGGTAAGTCTGTCATAATGTGTTAGTATGCAGTGCGTACTAGCACATTATGACTTTACCTTGTGGGGGGGGACCATTTTTTTTTCATTACGTGGTTTATTCCAACTTTAAGCCCCTGGTCACATCAAAACTGATTTTGAAATCGTGCGACTTACAGTGAAGGCGCACGATTTCAAAATCAGGTGACCTGCCAATTTCAGTTGCGATTTGCAAGACATCTGACACAGATATCTATGCAAATCGCAATAAAAGTAGTGCATGTACTAATTTAGAAATCGGTGCGGCTCCAACCAAGTCAGAACCGCACCGATATGACTGCTCTAATAGCGGACAATAAGGTGCGAATTGGCATACAATTTGCAAATCGCATGCCAAATAGCACCCAATGTGATCGGGGTGTAAGTGACTATCTTCAGCGGATATACAGAGATGGAACAAATCCTCCTACATATGTTGTACCTGTTTTATCTGAAGCCCTCTCTTCTCTACAGCAGTTCAAAGTCCAAAATGTATACAGCTGGTCTGAGCTTTCACATAGCAGGGGGGCTGAGAGCTGATGTTACACTGCAGAGCTCTGTGAGAGATGACTGGAGGGAAGGAACACACACCCCTTCACACAGCACACAGAAACAGAGCTGAGGCTGTCAATCATAGGATGTGTGCTGGAGCTCCCTCCCTGTCACCTTTTATCTCTTGGTGTCAGGAAACCTTGAAAAGTGGCTCATGCAGATAGCAGAGGAAGAAGGCAACAGACAGAAATGACACTGTGCTCTTGTTGAGACAAGTGCACACTATAGAAGGATATGCTTTGTTCATATTTCATGTTTGAGGTTTACAACCATTTTAAAAGCAGAACTAAAGGTAAAACGTTTTTCAATTCAGATTGGGGGGGGGGGGGGTTATAACCCCTGTCAGTCTTTTGCCATCTGTGCCCCTATTGTGGAGATTTACCTTCACTTCCTTTCCCATAGCCAAAACAGGAAGTGAGAAGAACTCCCTCTAAATTGAGGAAATCCCTGCTTGTCACCAGAACTAGTGTCCCCATTAGAAGATTTCTCCTCTATTCCTGTTCTGGTGACAAATGTATGATTTTCTTTCACTCTTGGTGATAATGGTAAACAGAACAAATAGAGAGTGAATCTTTCTAACAGGGACACAGAGAGTAATAAAAGCCTGATACAGTTGCAAGAAAAATTATGTGAACCCCTTGGGATTCCGTGGAGTTTTGCAAATTGGGCAAAAAATGTGCTTGAACGTCATCTAATTTTAAAGAAGAACACAGTCTGCTGAACATAATACTACACAAACATTAGATGTTGCCATGGTTTAATTGCACATAACATGTCACATTCACAGTGCAGGGCTTTAAAAAGTATGTGAACCTTTGGACTTAATAACTGGTTGACCCTCCTTTGGCAGCAATAACCTCAACCAAACGTTTCCTGTAGTTGCAGATCAGACCTGCACAACGATCTGGAGTCATTTTGGACCACTCCTCTTCACAAAACTGTTTCAGTGCAGCAATATTCTTGGGATGTCTGGTGTGAATCGCTCTCTTAAGGTCATGCCACAGCATTTCAATCGGGTTGTGCTGTGCTTAGCATCGTTTTAGCGGCATCAAGCAGTTGGGCATTTATTCACTTTGTTGGCTAGAATAAATAATTTATTCTGGCCATTGAAATGAAAAAAAAAACTTCCAAACACTAAGCGGATCTAGCATTAATGCATGTCTACACGCATTTATGCAGCATCTGGCCTTTTTCTGCAAGAACACTTTTCTCCTGAAAGCGACTCTTCTGCGTTCAGTAGAGGAGCTTTTACTGCCTCTAAACTCTGGTAAAGGCCCATGCGTGCATGGACACTGGTTTTTATTGAATGGAAATCAGGGTCTTTGACAAAAAACACCAGAAGCTCCACAAATGTGAGTTTAGGAGCAGCAGTGTGCTTGAGGCCTCAAGCTGGCCATACATGTGTAGATTTCTGGGTGAGAATATTCGTAAGAAAAGTCGTACGAAAATTCTTTGAACATTTAATAAATGGACGAATGTCGTTTGAAAATTGTCTTTTGTTTTTAACACTCGATTTTAAAAGGAATGTAATTTCTGATCGATAACCACATTCACTGGCTGATAATTCATGATCAAGAAAAGTTTTCCTTCCTGCCCCTTTGAATTTTCCCGTCACTGCTGTCAAAAATGAACATTGATTTGACCCCACTAACAATTAGAAAAGAGCCGATGACATAGGCTCTATCATGTAATCAGCTGTGTCCAATCACAGCTGATCGCATGTAAATAGGAAATGCCGGTTATCGGCAATCCTCTCATGGATGAGGAGTGGAGAGCCAGTAATCGGTATTCCTCAGAGGGGACATGTACAATGATCATCAGTACCCTGATGGTCAGTGTGGCCCCATCAGTGCCACCTGTCAGTGCCCATAATTGCCAGCTGTCAGTGCCTATCAATGCCACATACCAGTGCCCATCAGAGCTGCCTTTCAGTGCCAATTATCAGTGCCAGTCACTGCTGCCTATCAGTGCCAGTCAGTGCTGCCTATCAGTGCCACCTTTCAGTGCCAGTCAGTGCTGCCTATCATTGCAATCAGTGCCGCCTATCAGTGCCCATCAGTGTCGCCTAACAGTTCCAGTCAGTACCGCCTATCAATGCCATATATGAGTGCTGCCTTTCAGTGCCCATCAGTGATGCCTGTCAAAACCCACCAGTGATGCCTGTCAATGCCCATCAGTGCCACCTGTCAGTGCCCATCGGTGCAGCCTATCAGTACCCATCACTGCAGCCTCATTAGCGCACATCAGTGAAGGAGAAAATAATTACTTGTTTACAAAATTTTATAACAGAAACGAAGAAAAAACTTTTTTTTTCTCAAAATTTTCAGTCTGTTTCAGTTTGTTTAGCAAAAAATAAAAACCCCAGTGGTAATTAAATACCACCAAAAGAAAGCTCAAAAAAACTGTAATTCAAAGAGTGATATCACTGAAAGCTAAAAATTGGCCTGGGCAGGAAGGGGGTGAAAGTGCACGGTAGGCAAGTGGTTAAAATGCAAACTTATGCAGGCCATAGATGGGGAGAAAAACGGCAGATTTTTCTTTTAAAAAACGAAAAATCGGTCATTCAAGCGGCCGACGTTACCATCAATGGTAAAAAAAATCGGCCGATTTTCATCCCGTCTAGAGCCGGCAAAAAGTGTCCCTGCAGAGAGCTCTGCTATTTCTTTGACAGTTCCTTGACATTTACAAAGGTTGCAACATTGTATCTATTTGTTTCCATTTAGGATACAGATGTTTTTATTTGGAAACAAATAGATGCAATGTTGCAACCGCTATAAATGTCAAAGAACTGTCAGAAATAGCGGAGCTCTCTGCAGGGACACTTTTTGCCGTACTGGAATTCCTCTATTTTTTCATCCTTCCTCTTCTCCTGCTTCATCATCATCCTCTTCTTCTTCTTCTTCTTCTTCATCATCATCCTCTTCTTCTTTTTCTTCATCATCAT